TATATATATATATATATATATATATATGTATATATATATATATAGGCCTATATATAGGCTAGACAGCATACGTATATAGAAAATTAAAACAAGAAATGACATTCTTCATTCTTGTTTGTCTACTTGAATACATGAATAGGATATCACATCTATATGCCAAAAATAAAATATTGATTGCATTGTTTCAAATTTTTATACCAGGTCATCATTGGGTACTGATCCTGAAGATAACCTATGGTTGAAAGTTGTATAACCTCAAATCAGATGATATTCTGTGTTGTGCCGTAATTCAAATTGAAAATCCATTTTCGAAACATTAAGCTAATTACAAGAAATTCAATGCTACGCTCTAGCTCAATAATCGGAACAACTCAATGTCGAGCCGCTATTGTTGTAGGCCTAATGTATCGTCACGATCCCGGTAAAATATTGTGCCGATCGATATTGTGTGTCTACATTTCTATAGGCCTTTAAAGAACAACAAAAAACGTTCATCAATCAATCATTAACTTTTTTGAAATTATAACTACTTCGATGACACTCTTGAACGTGATTAAATTGGGGGTACATTTAATTATTGACTTTGAATGGGTCGCTAGGTGAGATTGCCCTAATGAGATACATTCCAATAGACGGGACATTGTGTCACGCGATCACGTAAGCCACGCAGCATAAAGCTCTGTCCAGACTATCATATTTTATTTGACAAAAAATGACATGCCTAAAATGGTCATAATGACATCACATCACGACCACATATAGGCGCATCTTGACTATATATAGGCTCACAACAGTTTTACAACGTGCGTTTGTACAACCATGGAAGTATTATTGAACTATGGGTTTGTGGGAAGCGCGCGTTCCTGGCAATGTTCTGATTGGCCAGTTGTTAAGATGTTACCCAGGCGTATACGGTATATTTATATGTAATTAGTAATCAAAAATTAAATTTAATAAATTAAAAAATATAATATAAAATATTGAGACACGAGTAAACGAGTTTTAATGGGAATTTAACCTTGGGTAGCTTTCTATGAAACTGTTTTAACTTGTTCGATATTTATGGAGAATTGTTTTCTTTATTGTGGTGATTTTAGCATGGAGCTACTATATATAGCTTTAGCTATATGATAAGCCATTTATTGAAAATTGCGTGGGTCTACTACGTCGGTGCGGCTATCATCTCATTTAAATTTAAGCCTCCCCTTTAATAAACAGCAACGAGATGGTTGAACAGCTTACATTAAATCAGATTCTGAGAAACCATCTTAGGGGTCATCGTCAAGCATTGTTTCTCTAGGTTTCCAGAATAAAAAATTCTTAAACTCGGGTTTTTTATATAATCCAGATTCTTACCATTGTGCGAGTTCTATTTAACACAGAGCATGAAGGACACAGTGCGTTGAGTTTGTATGGAAACAAACATACTGCAAAGAAATGGTTGAACAGCTTCTTACACTGTCAGATTCTGCGAAACCATCTCAGGGTTTAATCGTCAAGCATTGTTTCTCTAGGTTTCCAGAATAACAATCTTAAACTCATATATACACTTATATAATCAGGATTTTTAACCATTCTGCGAGTTCTATTTAACACAGAGCCTGGAGGCGTTGCGTTGAGTTGGTATGGAAACAAACATACAAATCTGGGTTGTATCGGGAATTCCCCATCGATTAATTTACGCAACACAATAGTCATATATACCTATTTTATTCGCTTCTATATCTTATCATTTTATTTGTTTGACATCTTTGATAACTATTAGTAGCAGATCAGGGTGGCGCCAGCGGGAGAGAGGTTGGTGACCGAGAGGGCATCCCCATCCTTCAATTTGTCGGGGAGGAAAACAAATGGTTTTTTTTTACATATTAGTAGACGCGAAAATCGATCAAATAACGATGTGAAACCTTAAATTTTCATATTTTCCCCCTGACCACTTTCGAGTGTCTTCGAGCGACGACCACGCATACTCACGACATCACCCCACCCCACCCCACCACCGGGTACATCGGAGCCCCGTCGGGCAAATCCTGGCACCACGCCTGAAGCAGATAATAAATAAAGCATCGAGCAGTTTGTCAAAATTTAAATGCTCAAAAAACTAAGGCCAATAAAAAACATACTTTCGACCTCTTGGTTCAAAATTTACACACTGACGTAATGATTTAACCAGACTCTAAACGCACTTTACCTGTCCCTTGTCCATTTAACGTTCATTGGTTCAGAAACTTTTGAACTCATGCGTAATAACACTAATTATTCAGACTCCCGTAGAGCACATAAAGAGGGGTGTGAGTGCCAAGAGAGTGCGACCTATTTTTGCCTGTGGTTATATAAGATTCTTCTTTTTTTATCTTTCAACAACAAAGTGCTTGAATTTTATAATACTAAATTGAAATTAATTTTTTTTTACTGATAATAGTTGTATATGGGTTTCGTTTTGTCATTTCCCTGGCTGTTGTTAATTAATGAAAAAGTTCTATTTGAATTTAATATTGTTATTTGCAAATTGGACAAATCTCTATTTTTAAAATATGGATTTTAATTATTTTTTAATTAAATCTACCTCCGGTGGTAAGACAGATTTGTAGAGGTGCTTGTTCACCTGTTCTTGCTATTGTATTTCGTTCCAATGAAAGTTGAATAAAAAATTAAAAATAAAATTAGCATAACCCCGACCTACATACATTAGTTAATATATTGCTCTGCTGTGCTGTCACGTGACAATGGCTATTCTCATTTCGTTGTATTTATTTCTTCATGACATGCTATATAAAACACATACAATTAACAGGCTATTGGCAAATGGACGTTTCTGCACCATAGCTTTTATACTGTCCCAGAAAACGACGACAGCATCAATGTATGTAAACACGCATGTTTGTGGAACGTGCGCATGTCTGTGATTCTGTTCTGAATGGTTAGTTGTTAAGTTTGATTGACACTATGAAAAGGTCCATTGCAATATCATCGGCAAACAGACTAACGGATCATAAAAAAACGAATTTACATTGTTACATAATTAGACTAGTTATTAACCCCAAATAAATAACAGAATTGCACTACTGTAGTTAGCCTAATACAACCTTCAGTAATGGATGGAATGTTAAGCTGTTGGTCCCGTGTGCATGGGTATTCTTCTTTGGCAACGTTCATTCATTTTAAGTTACCGCGTTTCTTTGGTAATTTAACAAAAACGTTCACACTATCAAATTTTATGTGACAAATTTGTGTGATGTGTCAGATTACACTCAAGAACAATTTTACTTAATCATTGTTTACACTATCAAATTTTA